TATTATTGCAAATGAAGTCTGCAAAGATGATGCATATACTTTACACTGGAGAATCAGGACCAACTGTGCAACTGGAAAGGTGTTTCCAGGTCCTTGAATCTAAGGCCCCGGTATTGTAAATAATCATATAAAAGTTTTTTAATCAAGGAACAAAGCCCAAATCTATCTAGGTATTTCTGCCCCACTGTTTCATATGGAAAGGTTCCAGAACTCTTAGTTAATAACTTGAATGTATTCATGATTGTTTACACTCCTATAAACTTGTGATCACCATCCTGTATTTTACATATTTCTACATTCTCCCTGTGTTTAGGCTTCCCTTCTTTCCGAAGTGAATTTACTGAGAGCAATCATCTTCCCCTCTCAGATTGTGCTGTGTTTGGATAAATGATTCAACCTGTTTCCTCTTGCAAGACTCTCGAATGCTACTTATCATTGAAATAATTATTTACATTTGTCTCAGTGTAAACTAATCTTTCTTGAATGGAAAAAGTATTCAAGTACTACATACAGCAACTCAGAAGCATTAATGGTGTCACATATAATGGCAAACACATAAAATGAGTATTTCCTCATCCAGTCAGTCAACAGTGTCAGGGCCAGGCTCCTATTTTCTTATGGCTGGACAATACTGATGGATCATAGTTAGCTTTAATCAATAATTTCTTTGCCCAGGTCACTCTTTTTCTGTCAGGTCCACATGGTGAGCTTCCAACTCAAAGAAAAGTTTCCTATTTTTAGTCTGTAAGTACGTTATAATGCACCCTGACGTACTGTATTTCATGTCAGTTCCTTTACTCCAGACTTAACTGTGTTCAGTCCTGCATGAATATCATCCCAATACTGATATTTTGAAACTTTGTATTTTGGCTAGGGGACTCCTCATTTTTAAACATATATCATCAATATATTATGATCCATGCCAACACCAATTCTTTAAGAACTTTCTGGCATCTTCTTTCCAGTTTAATAGTTCCTTTTTTAATAGTACCTTCAGTTACATCTCTTTCCTTGTTTTCACTCAGATTAGAGCGCTTACTCATGAGATCTCTTCTTTCTTTCATATTAGCTTATAATTTTCCTGTGGTACCCTATCAAATGCTTTACCAAAATAACAGAATCATAGAACGGTTTGGGTCAGAAGGGACCTTTGAAGATAATCTAGTTCAACTTCCCTGCCATGAGCGGGCAGGGACATCTTCCACTACAGCAGGTGACCAGAAGTCAGAAGATTCAGACCATTTTTTCTATCTTACTTTTGCTTCATTACAGATTTATTCTCCATTCTAAGCCATTATGGATGAAACCCAGATTAACTCAGCTTCACCTATGATGGCAAAGCAGTGTAGAAGAGAAAAAAAGGCTCTGCATCTACAGTACTGCTCTGTATCTACAGTACTGCTCTGTATCTACAGTACTGCTCTGTATCTACAGTTGGCAACATGTTTTATAGTTCCATACTTAAAGCTGAGTAATAAGAGCACAGGTGCAGTTTAAATGGTAGCAGTGAATTTAACAAGAATTTTGACTTCTTAACTATTTGGAGCACTTACCCCACAGTTCTTCAAACTGAGGTAAAACTACTTGTTTCAAGATTAACAAAGATAAATACAAAGATGTAATAAAGAAATGCCTATCAACACGAAGAAAAGCTTGAAGCACATCACCCAATACTGGAATCAAAAGCACAGCAGCCTGCAAGAAGCAAGTATTGTCAACTTGACAAGGACCTCAACAGCTCTCACACCGAAGGAGTCCAAACAGTCCGAGTTCAGCATTTTCACAGTGCCTCACATCTCTCTCCTTTTTCTCCTTTTTTTACTATTTCCTTTATTACATGGGAGACACCCCAAGTACCAGAATTCCAGGAAACTAAGTAGTTAGGCTGCCAGTCAAGTCAAATCTCAGCATAAACACTAAAGTTTTCTCTCCTTCAGTGTGTTCCTACTTCTCTAGAAAGATCCAAAGAAACTCAGCTTGTAGCTATAAATTGCTCTGTAAGAACTATTAAACTTACAGTTAATGGAATGTTTCATTAAAATCAGTATCATGTTGGGATGTAGGATGGGATAAAAGGAAATATGAGAGTTGCTACACAGTACTGCATAAAAGAAGAAAATCTAAAGAAAAAGCTTGAATTTGCACTGAGGACGTGACAGTAATTTGACCTCAATGCTAACTTCCACTGTCTTGCATGGAGTTCTTTAACTGGGGTTTGCAAGTAGCTGGATATCTACCTCTGAATTTCCTTTTCAAAGAATCACATGCTGCATTTCTCTACACTGAACATTTACCTCAAATGTTGCTAATTTGTCTGTTTAATCTTATTTTGACCTTTATATAACAATTGTGTAGCTCAAACTTCACTTTACGAGAGTTTATTGCTTGTATTATTGTAGCCTCTAGCTTTCCTAGACATAGGCAACCCAGCCTACTTTGTTGGATGCTTTTTAAATAAGGAATGAAAGGATTGTACTTGTCCCCAAATGCCTACAACCGAATTCAAATACAAGACAGTTAGGCAAGTATTTGGAGACTCCTTCCCTGCATCAACATTATAAAATTGCCACACAAAAGCAGCCAACTGGTACTCCAGATTTTTGTGGGCACCATGAAAAATGTTTTTTTGAAGAGATAGATCTTAACAAGAACAGAGAAATGGTTCTGTATTTACAAGGAGCTCTTCTCAAAAGCAAGGGGAAACATGAGATAAAGCACACAAGAGATTTATTAGTTTAGCATTCTCTTGAATTTTGCCTGCTGGCTTTTTAACTGCAACAAAACTTACTAAAGATTGTAGAGTTGGTTTTGAAAAAGTAACTCAGGCCAAGGTCAGTAAGATTTTGGATGGGTATCACCTGACCACCTTCTTTTGGGACACAATCAGCTCTCCATGGTCCAGATCAGCCCTCTGGACTTCCATAAAGTAGAGATTAAACACCTATTAGCACCAAAAATTTAAGCTAAAGACAAAGATGATTTCAAGCATTCAAATACTAAACACATGAAAAACCCTTTTTTTTCCCCAGATGAAGCTCATGGCCTACTTTTCTTCCAATTAACCTGTCCCTCTATACTTGCTCCAATTGCCTTCACACACACAAAGGCCCAGAGCTGAACAAACAGGAACCCCCAACAAAGCTGAAGGGTTCCAATGCCTAAAACCCACTTAATTCTAAAGCTACAAATCCTGAAAGTGTTCATCGAACTCTAGAACAACCTTAACCCCAAAGATTTTAAGATATTAAAGTTTCCTGATGCTAAGTTTGCAATTCTGTTCTGTCCCAACTTTCATAGGATTGGGTGGTTTGATGCAAGCTCACAAAAAAATCAGAATACAGGAACTTGGAACTCTTCTAAATAGCTCATCGCACTAAAGAGCTCAGTTTAAAGGGCATTTTTAATTCCTAAGAGAATAGAGCTCCATATGCTTTTTAAAGTGGGAACCAATTCTGTCTTGCATAAATGTGGGCTCCTGGGAGAGGGAATAGCATGCTTTGTCACTACACAATAGCACAGTGGTTAACTTGTTTGACAGAGATCAGATATGAACTTCCCGGGGCACAAGCGACAGGCAAAAATCTTCCCTAGTAACCATCAGTTACTATAAGTAGCTATCTCCTACTGGAGGCTAGCAGAAGTAACTTTGCTTGCTATTTTAAAAATGAGAAGTAGGCGCCCTGATCAGAAGTGCTTGGCTTCAGGAGAAGGCTCAAGGCCAGGGATCCAAAATGAACAGATGCTTCCTTGCAGCCCTGACTGGAATACCTGAACTTTAAACACTTCTCCCTTCTCAGCTATTCTGTTAGTTGAGAGTCACAGTAAGCTGAATACTCAGAGTTTGTAGTCAGCTTCCTGCTCGTCATGTTCATTGTTGTGAATCCTGGTCCGATGTAATAAACTTTTTCATGTACTCTAGAGAGAGCCCACAGATCACAGAATGCTTATTTCAACAGTCACGTGCCAAAAAAGTCAGGCATCATAGCTCTGTGTGCTTCACCAGACACCGCCTAAGTTAACATTGTACAGGTAGACTCAGAAGAGTAGCTGCAAAAAAGAAAGAAGTGCAACCTGCCGTTTGAAGTCACAGACTGAAAGTTGTTTACATGCAAAAATTATACTGTTACATTTATGTGGGTCACCTAATGCAAATACTTCTTGATTTTCTTTTCTCTAAATATTCATTTAGCGTATAATTGCTCCTTATATGATTTAAGTAGTAAGTACACAAGAAGGCTTTACTGATTTTTGGCAAATGGAAGTTGAGTTAAAAAATACAACTTTCTCAAACAAGTCTGATTCAAAGATGCTATTAACTAATTCTCAATTTCTTCCTCATGAAGCATAGATGATTTTCAGTTTGAAAACCTGCAAAACAGAAGTCTTCAAATAACATTTCAGATTAGAAGCAGTATTTTTTCCTAGGGCCAGCTATTTAGCATTTCGTTATGTTGAAAATAGGGATTTGTTGACAAACAGGCTTCCATCTCAGCTGCGGACAATGTATTATGCTCAGTATTTCTACAGTTTTTCCTTTAGCAGCTCAGAGGCTCATGGTATGAGCCCTACATTTTTTGGGCAGCTTTTCAGGTCATAGTGAGACCCATGTTAACTTGCATTAATAAATGTGTAGCCATGTATTTGAAAAGATCAATCTTAACCCATGCTGCACCACTAAACTGAAGGAAAATCCCGCTTAAGCTAAATGTTTGTAAGTACACCTCCTGAGCAGAATGACTTCTTTCTAAGCAGGAGCTCTACGCTTACTTTTTGTATTCATGTTTCAAAAACTTCCTATCAGAAGGGTCTTTAAAAAACTCTCTACGAAGAGTAAGACTTATAGGATCAGGCCCTAAGTGGAATTACTTTTCAGAAATGCTGTGTCAGCAAATCCTTCTAAAGACCGAAAACAAAAATGAAGCCATTAGAAAACAGAGAGAGAGAAATCAACAGAGAAGGAGAGAGCACATGCAACTGAGAGAGACCGTGTCCAAGCTCACCTATCCTTGTAGTTTATCACAGTATCAATGATAGCATTCATTTGTTTTGTCAGTTTGGGTGGGTTGGGTGACAACTTCTCTGCAGGAGGTCTGCCTCTTCTTTTCTTTGCTTTCTCTCCATCCTCCTTCCCAGAATCTTTATCCACATTTCTTCGTCTCTTCCGTTTTTTAAGCCTGACTTCCTCTTCCATTTCTTCCAAATTGCCGTCTTCAATTGCCTGACAACCATGGATTCAAAAAGCATGGGTTTTAAACAAAAGAGATATTGCAAAGGGAAATAACAAGCTGTATTTAAAAACAAAAACGCAACCCCATAGGATGCAGATAATTCAACTCAAAATTTTCAGCTTATTTATAAACAAGAGTACAACAAGAAATTGAGCTACTGGCAATCAAAGAGACATTAAACATGAATTTGTTCTAAGAATTCCACTATCATCTAAATAGATGTGTGTTTATCTGAACCTTGAATTCCACATCAACTCACGGTTTCACACACAATAATGTCCTGTGGTACTGTGTCAGTAAGTGTGTAACACACATTCATGTTGTTCATGTCAGTGGCAGTTCTGGCTTATGCAGCTCCATGCAAAAAAGACTTCGATATCGCATGTTTTCAAATAGGACAGTCTAAACTACGCTTGGCTCCCAAAGGCAGATCACACACAGTTCTTTGTGCACACAAACAATACACACGTACTTTATGCAGTAACGACTCAACTTCTCTTTGAAATAGTTTAAGCAACTTCCAAATCGTCTAAGCGTTAAAACCATCTCTAAAATGTATCACTTTCTTCTAGAATAATAACCAACAGATAGGCAGAAGCACTGACAGAACAGTGTTTTACTGAAAAAACACTCATAATATGGATGCAAAGCAAACAAACAAACAAAACCCAAATCCACACACCCCCCCACTGAGTCACAAACAATGAACGCTACTTTCAATTACCTGGATGTATGCTTTTAACCAGACCCTGCAGTACTATGCAGAGGGATAAAAAAATCGCTACAAAAAACCAAACTAGGAATAAAGGGAACCTGTTCACTCACTGACTATCAGATCCATGTGATAAAGCAAGAAGCTGAACTTTTCTTGATTTGGGAAAGCCAACAAAAGAAAAGAAATAAAAATACTAGGTTGTAAGAGAACTGAAATTAAAAATTAAAAAAATATGAAAAAAATCTTAAAACTAGGCTTTCTGATTAATGCTTTCTCAGAACATAACTGATGTTGGTATTTGTCCCTTTTGCCTCTCAATATTGCCTTGAGTACATGCAAATGCTAATCAATCCTTTCTTGTAGCTGAAAGAGCTCTAATCATAAGGCAATTACCTTCATTTCTCCACAGCACCAAACATTGCTAATATTTATGATCATGTGAACATAACAATCAATATAAAAAGAGTGATTACAGCCCAGACATAATTCTTCTCAATTGTGTACAATGTCTCTCGAAAAACGTTTTGTGAACAAAACCTGATGCACAACACAAAACAACCTGGCATGTTAAAAACACTAGTGGGATCTCGAAATCTGTTTTCTATGCATTCTCCGATGTGCAAATCCACAGAACAAACACGAACGCAGAATCCTGAGGGACAGCCTGAAACTAGGCCTTAATAATCAAAAGACAATTTACATCATGCTTCCACAGCGTTCAGATAACCACTATGAAGGAGGCTTGAGATCTGATGAGTTAGGAAGAAAAAAGAAGGGAAAGAAAGAAAAATCTGCACACAAATTCATTAATATTCATTTGGCTAAAGCAGGACACCCACTATCAACAACTGCAGCTAACGAAAATCAAGAACAGAAAATTTCTCTGCATATCTTGGAAGATAGAAAAGCTAATATAAATACAGCATGCAAGGCTGTCAACAGTTAATGTCATTGCTCTCCTTAAGCACTCAGTTGTACATTGAAATACGGAGAACACCGACTTTTGATGTGTTACACACCTACACATGCCTGTGATGTAGTTCTACTGAATCTTCAAGACGGCAATGAAAAAGGATATTTACCTTACCACTATCAGCAGGCCGGCTATCGGAAATCACAGTTAGTGGGGATAAAATTAACAAGCCAGCAAAGCAGCGAGCTGCTAGTCTCTTCATCAGCTGATCAGGAAAAAAAAGAGAGCTGGGGAAAGGCTATGTTTTCATATACAAGTAATTTTATTTTACTGAAAATTTAATACTGAAAGGATTGTGGATACTCAAATCTGCTGTTTCATTCTACCTACTACAAGGCCCGAAGCCTTCCTCCTTCAGCCTGCTTTAATACTGACAACCACTTATCATATTTCTCCCCTTATTATTCTAGGCATCCAAATCAGATTTTTAGCTGGGCAGTTACTGATTTTTGTTGGCGTTTTAATTATAACAGCACAATTGGACAATTTCAGTATGATTTTAAAACTGAAATAGGTTGCATGCATTTTAAAGATGCATTTATTACAGAAAATTTATTCCTATTGCTCTGCAGTGAACAGATCAGGTTTTGGTTATTGAAAATGATTAAAAAATCTATTCTTATTTACAAGAATTAGAAAACCAAACCAAACCACATTATCATTTCGTTAACTTTGGTAACATTTTGTTTTCCTTCAGAAAACTGGTATTCACTTAACCAAAATGTATTTATATTTTTGTTTGCTTGACAAATTTTCTACCACCAAAAAAATAACAGTGGTGCTGTCATCACAGAGTTAACTAACATCTCATTTTAGAATTCTGCATAAAATTCTTGCTTGGAGCAGGTAATATTTTGGGAAAAAAATATCAGTACAAAGAGAAAAGATAAAAGTAAAAAGATTTTTTAAATATTAAATATAGTAATGTAGTAAAGACAAAAAACAAAAAAAACCCCAAGTAAACTAACATATACTCTTGCACTCTTAAAATTAGTGACTAGCAGACAGCAAATTAATTCTTAGCATACTACAGATCTGCCAACAAATATTAAAATGTCTATTTAGCTAGTAATATATCAATCAATTACTATACTCAGCTTTCAAAATTTACATGCATGAATGTAAACTCGGACAGTTTTCCTTAATTTAAGACTTCAGTGACACCACTTGAAAATCTGTGTGACAATACCAGCAGTCCAAAAATGTTGTTAATGCTGTAATGACTCCTAACATTAGTTCTCAAGTGGCAAATTTATATTTTGTTTATAAATAGTAATATTTAAAACTAAACCTATATGATTTTTGCTGCCTCAAAAGATGGCTTAAAACTGTATCACATAAATCAATTATCAGCAGAGATATTAACGCTCTGTGCGTATGTCTACATATATGATCCATGCATGTGTGTATAAGCAACAAAATATTTATTAAACTAATTCATCTGACTGAGCTCTTTGTTAGAAAAGCTTACTATTCTAGGGCTGAAGTGCCACACCGAAGAGAATGCCCTTCCAAACCTTTACCAGTACGATAACGCTACAAATCCCAGACACAAATCTCCAGTTCCTGACAGATGATGGGCTGTGCGAGAGTGAAGATAGCACGGACATCTCCCGTGCTCAAATGCCTCTGGATTAGTGAGGTGAACAGCAAGGGAGTCAAGGAAAATAGTACACAAACACAAATTTAACACTTTCCTTCCCTTAAGGAAACAGGACAAAAGAGTACAATAAAGTTTGGAGACTTCATTTTTTGAAAGAAATCTGTGAAAATTTAATGCCAAATTTTGCAAAGGACTGGGCACCTCGTGAAAGGCAGAGATGCCAGTGGAAGCGTGAGGACCCAATGTTAAGTCCAGCACTGACAAAATCTTCCTGCTTTTCTGAATCTTACTGCTGTATCCTGGTCCACATACACAAAACAATTTACTTTCTAAAGAGCTAAGAGCATGCAGGCTTCTCAAAGCATGGATTTTAAGAAAGAGCATGGAATAAAAAAAAACAAACTGCCTTTCTCCAAAAAGAAGTGCACACACCACCCCCCCCGCCGAAACCCGAAAGTGGATTTTTCAGAGGGCAAGTAGAAGTTACTTCTGAGACAGCTGGCCTTCCTACTGCTGCTTGCAATTATATTTTCTTCTTCATAAAGGAAAATAGCTGTTTTGAGGTGGAAGTATTCTTAATGAACATGGATACAGCTACATGAGCACCACAGAAACAAAGTGAAGATCAAATGGAAACTCTTTTGTTTCTCCATTTGAAAAGCAGGACATTATGGATGTATTCTTAGCTTCTTCTTGAGAGCATGACACAGCACCACGACTGAACACATTTTCAATTGAGAATGGACCCAAATAAGCACTAAGAGCTACAGCTCTGAGTTTTGTTTCACTTGCCTTCTGCAAATCAACAATCATGTTAGTCTTATATTAGTTTTAAATTCATTTTACAGGAATCGGGTAACCCAAGCGTGGTCACACAATGAATCAATGGAGGTGCTCAGCATAAAATCAGTTTTGGCGTCTAAGGCCTGTCTCTAATATTTAGATGACACAACCTTTTAAGACATAGTTATTTTTCCTTTTATCGGAGATAACTGTAGTATTGTTATGAGAAAGTTAAGGCATAGTGAAAGCTATTGCTACTACTTACAGTCAAAGAAACTGTACACACAAAACAAACGTGTTAGGGAGCCGTGTAATAAGTCTACTTGATAGTGCTGAAAATATGTTCAAATGAAATGGGAAACAGGCACAGAACACGAGATCCCTTTCTGCGTCCCTCTCTGATTTTATCTTAACAACATGAAACATTAAGATACCTTGCCCCCTTCCCTTCAGACATCAATGCCCTGTGTCTCTCCAACCTGCAAAGTTAGAAGAGAGCTCTTGTGACTAACATTACCATGTGAACAGATTTGCTAGCATGCTAATTAAACTCCATGTTTCCACAGAAAGCATATAAAACATAGGTGAACTGGAAAAAAAGTCAGCTTCCCAACACCCTGAACATAAATACTAACCCAATCATGCAAAGTTTCCAAAAGAATGAGCTTTTCTGGGAACAATAAATAACTTACCTGGGTATTGTACTGACTACTGGCCAAGAGGCACTAAGCTTAAGAACAGTTAAGCACTTAAAACCAACAAACATGTCAGTAATGCAGTAATGAACAACAGATGACCGCCTCACAAAATGAAGTTCCCATTTACCAATTTGGTAGAGAAGAAAGAAGTAAAAGAACCCTACAGAAGGCTAGTAACAAACATCGAAAGCATTAAAATGTTATCTACCTGCCCCTATAAATTTCTCTCCTCAGCATAATCCTTCAAATCCTATACTGATATTCCAAAAGAAATTCCACTTTTTCCCTCCATCTTGCTCTATTTGAAATCCTACCCATCTTTATTTTACATTTTTATTCTCAGATTATACCTGACAACTGATGAAGACTTCAAGTTTCCAACCTAAAGTTCATCTTCTCCAAAAGATCTCTTCAAATCTTGCTTAGTTTCTCAACAGTGACATTCCTGATGTCTGGGATTGTTTCTAATTTCCACATATTGGAATTATTTCTTGGCTCTCTAGAGCAAGTTCCCTTACATTGTAACTAATTATCACTTGCTATGCTACAGCATAGACGTCAGTATATTACAGTTAAACACTGTGAAGAAGAAGAATGCCGTAATACTTGACAATTAGATGAAAGGGCATAAGATACTCTTATCAACAGTGCAATGACTAAATACTTGAAGATAATTGTAAGGATTGATGAAGAGTTTTTTTAACTGGATTTCCTCTCCTTGCCAGACAGTATTGCACAACAGATTTACCAAACCAGTTTTCCTGGGACTAAACTAAAACAGAGTATAGATTAAAATCTGCCAAAGGCAAGGAATTACTGAATATATCCAGTTTTTCCTTGCTTTCACTGCTGACTCATTCTCCTCCACATAAGGAATATTCCTATTGAGCACTTAAGTAGAAAAGAAAGTGTTGTTTTTTTAAAAAACATAAACAAAATGCAATTATTGCAAAAACACAAACTTGTAATAAATGGTCTTCTCGGATATGCTGAGCTTTCACTAAATAAGGAAATGGAGTCCTTCAGCCATGTGTTCATCAGTCAGGGTCTGCGTCTTCACATCGCTGAAACTTGCTTCTTTTTGAGAAGAGGGAAAAAATAGATTGTTTTCTGTTTTCCATTTGAAAACTATTAATAGTTGCTTAATTATTTGCACAGAAACTCCAGGTGCCTATTTTTAATTAGGCATTAAGGAAAACTATAATGCAAATTATAAATAGTTTTTTCTTCATATTTTGATTTAAAGACTGATGCCAAAAAGACCTGGTAGAAGCATCCAAGAACATACTTACCTTTAAGGAGAAATGGTCTCAACCAAAGCAACAGAGCATAACATTAAAAAAAAAAAAAAAAAGGTATCTATTTAAAATACCTATAGGCTCAAAGCTTTTATCTTCAGTGTTTTCTTTCTGGTCTGAGAAAAATATTTCAGACAAAATATCCTAATATATAATCTTAATGTAAAATACCTTAATGCTTAAGGTTAATCTTTAATGTTACAACTACTAAGTTAAGCATAATGCAGAGCCAGCACCAATAAACCTGCTCCAAGTTACGGCAAACTACATTGGCAAGGACATAAATTTTCTTCTGTTCAAAAGTGAAATCTGGTTAAAAAAAAAAAAAACAAATCAAGAATTAGTCTCATTCCTCCCTCCCCCAAAAGGCAAACAATGATTTTAAATGGAAGCACTCAAACTGATTTTGCACTTATGAGCTTTTCATAAACTACTGAAGAGCGCAGTAATTACCGACGATACCAGGACCCACAGCCCGCTTAGGGAGCACAAGGAAAGTGCTCCATCAGGGGGAAGGAACTGGGTGATAAAAAGGAACAACTGCATCATGCTGACTATAAAGATGCTTTGCTTAACGAGTCAGAGCATTGAGAAAATACATACTCACTGTATTAAGACACTGAACGTGGAACTACTAAAAATCATCACTATTCTGTGGTCTACAGCTACTCAGCAACACTCTTAAAAGATCTACAGAACTATCTCCAACTGTCTCCTGCAGTTTTCAAAAGTAAGTGTGATTTACCCCTCCCATCTGACATACAGTTGTACTTTATGTCTTTTTAAGAAGATTTAATTTGAACAACCTCTTGACTAAGCC